CCTCAAAGCCACCACCCACCACAGAGTTTTCCCATGGCCTTAAGCCAAGGCAGCACCACAATGCCCCTGGGTGAACGCTACTCCCATCATCAACTGAGCTGACATCAGGGCCACCAGCATGCTGGGGCAAAGACAGACAGCATCTATATAAGCCTTTCCAAACACCACTCCCCAAGTAAGACCTTTCCCCCTGAATAAGCCAGCAGTAAGCGCATTTAAAAACCCACAGAATCTCTTCATGAAAGCCCTTAGGCAATCGTGTCCTCTTAAGTCATCTTCTAAAGCAAGACTGCACACACAGCTACTCATTCAAACAAACCAGTAAGATCAATGCGAAGAAACCCACCTACGAAAGGGAGCTCCCAAACCAAAATACCCCCTCTCCCACCCATGTCTTCTCTTGGACCAGTACACCTTGCTGTTTCCACCTCAACAGTTTATACCCCATCTAAGGACAGGGCCAGTGGTTTGACATGGCTTTGGAGACAGTCCAAGACATGTAGGCAGAGGCTGGTCAGTAGAGAAGGGACAAGGATGGCAGTCATTCCTGCACCTCCTGGGCATCTTGCTTGGCCAAGGTTCCCCGATGTCTGCCCATTTTCCCTGCCCTTCTCCCCACTCAAACAGGCATGACACCCTTCTTGTCTTGGCAACCCAACAGATGGGGAACCAGAGGGAAAATCTGAAGCTAAGCATGACTGATACTGACTTTAAGACATACCCGACTGCATGTTTCATAGGGAACTAGGGTCACGGGGTGAAGAGAAACCAACAGTCAGGCGAATAATGACAGAGACTTTCTCAGAAAACAGCAAAAAGCAATGAACTTATGAAACATCTACCAGCAACAGATAATCAGGGCAACATCTCAATTTCAGAAATTCATCTAAACTAGTCTACCAGGAAGGAGCTTCAGAAGTCACAGAGGAGTATGACCCAGTTGCTTGGACTGTGCCTTACAACCAAGAACTTTTTCATGTTTCATACTCAGTGTGTTTCAAGATGTTTAATTTCTGGCTTGTAATGGGTGTTATCATCACCATCACATGGTGCTGTCACTTACTTTCCTTCAGAGTGCCAGCCTGATTCCTGATTTCTCAGTACACATTTCTTAGCCTTGGATTTTATATATAGCATCTAGTAATTAAAGGCAGCAGCAGCAAATTAAAATGCCTTTACCATAATAAGGAAGAGGGTTAAGTATTTTCAGCCATGTAGTTCATTAAGAAAAAGCATGTGTATGTATATATACACATATGCAGGCACATACACAGGCTCATGTTTACTTATTAATTTCTTTTTATATGTACATATATTTATATACATGACCATAGATTTTCATTTGAAAAGTCAATTAATAAATATTTGGTAGTCAGTGCCAAACTTTTTAAAATTGATGTCTTCTATAACCCTATTTCATTAATATCCCAGTAATGAATTTTTAAAGAATGCATTCGGGACTAGCCAGCCATCTCTACTCCACCACCAAATTGCAATGCAGAGCTGAAGTACAAGAAAGTGAAACTTCAATCCCTACGTGTTGTGTCAAAGTTTATACCTGCTCTGGTGAAAGCCATTCCTCACTGGGGGACAATACAGAAATGAACCCCAAAACCTCTTGCCCTACATCTTGCTAAATTTTGCCTAACATACTTATTAGGAGAGAATTTCTATTTCTGGTTTCACTGGGACTCCCACTTTGGCTTGAGGTGATAGGCAGAACCTTTCACACGCTGCCTGCTGTCTTTTTTAAGTTGACAAGCTGTCTATTTCTCACACACATGAAAACCATGTGGAAAAGATTTCAAAAATCTCTACTGACAGCTGTGAAATTAAGAACAGATTCTTGGCCTGATGCTAGTAGAGTAAAACAATGTTTCTCGCCCTGTGGTGCGCCGACCAGTGGGATCCATAGATCCTTCTAAGAAACCACTGTATGTAAAAAAAAAAAAAAAAAAATCAATTCTGTTGTCAATCAGATTAAATGTGCTACTGGGGGCTTCACACCTCCAGAGGAAAGCAGAAAGCTGTCACAAAACATCGTCCCCAAATGTGGACATGTCGCTTTCCAAAATGCAAGTGTCTGTGTTCAGCGCATGCACTACCAGTGTGAGTAAACAAGAGCGATAAAGCAGCAAGGCTGAATATCAGATTTTGAGAAATTCAGTGCAAGCTCTACTGGAGACTGCTGCACACTGGATGGGTTCCTGAACGCTTCCATTTACATGAGGAAAAGAAAAAGATCTAGAAAAAATTCAAACCCTTCAACTCCACACCGAAGAAAGTAAAGGGATTCTATTAAAATGTTTAGGACTTTTAACCTAAAACCACTCTCCCCCATCAAGAGCAATGTTCCCAATTACAACTAATTTATCATTGTGGAAGGTGTCAGGAGAATTCCAATTTTTAAAGTAGAATGAAGCGATGAAAATGTAATACCCAAAAATAAAGATGAAATAAAATTATATTGAAGACTCATGAGAAATTGAAATTGATTTGAAGGCCAATATAATCTTCCTCCAGTAGAAGACAGTATTATATCTTCTTCCCATACACAAATGTATAAGAAACAATCAAGTTTTATTGTTTCAGAAAAGATGTGCCATAAGCAGAGATGGTAACAGATCACAGTCAGATTGTTCTGTTGCTCTGGGGACTTTTGCTCATATGCCATGGGATTGCCCAGCTGCCTCTAGCAAATGTGGAAAAATATAGAATAAGATACAAACTGCACTGATGCTATATTTTCAAAATCCAAGCAGGGTATTTAGTAAGTGCTTGAAAATAAGAAACACAGAAAAGGATGTTAATAATTATCTTAATTTCTATAGGAGGAGACAGGTAATAAAGTAAGTCTGAGTAGGGGGAGAAGCGAGTATGAAGACCATAACTGTAGGAAGGTCAAATTCATGTGCATGGAGCTGTGGCCAGATGCTTTCCTGGCCAATTAGTCAGATTATTTAGACCTCAGTATTTCTGTACTGTACTGTGGTGTGCAATAAACCTGCATGGGATGGGTGTGGAGACAAATTCCATAGTTGGAAGCAGGACTCTGTAGCAATCAGCAAGACACTACCTTGAAGGGTGGAGATTCCCATCTCATAAACCACACTAGGAAGAAACCATAACAATGCAAGGTGCAGAGAAATATAAAGAGATCGTATGGTGAGGATATGCATTTAAAACATCCCAAGTACCTCTGTCTATGATGAAGTATAAAGCTTTGGTGCAGGAGATTCACTGCGGATAACCTCAGCTGGAGACGTATCCCAAGCAGGAGGGCTGTGAAGAAAGCCCCAGGATATTTTATGAAAACACTCCAGGAAATTAAACACCATGTCATTTCTTCCCATAAAACATAGTGCATGCTAAACCAGAAATCATTTCCCCCAGATTTGAGGTGTATGAAACCAGCTCGGCTCCTTGACACTTCCCCCATGCACTCCGTTGCAAGCTCCCAGTCGGCTCCCTCCCTCGGGTGGGTTTTGCTCCGTCCTTGTGAAGGTCAACTCTTCTTTCCTCCCACCCCCTGGCACGTTTGCTGCCTGCAGCCCCACGGTAGCTGCTCTCCCAGCCAAGGCTCCCCGACGCTATCGGCTGGCGTGGGTTTCCTGTGCAAACGCCACCTCCCAGGGACAGATATTAGCTCAGTGCTGGTGTCAGCCAAGACATCTCTACCTGCTCCATGAGTCATCCTGCAAGTTGGAGGCTCAAGAGTGGTCTGTGTTTCCCACACTTACAATTGCTGGTGGTTTCCTAACAAGCTGAGCAGTGGAAAAACAGCGATGTTATCTCTGTTCAGCTGTAATACAGAGAATTTTTTCCGGAAGCACTGTGATGCACACTCTCTTTCTGCCCTTTCTGTTTAGGTCAGCCAACAGGCAGACCCTGCCTTGTTGTGTCACAGAGCCGTGGTGTTTGCAGCTGGGTGGCTTCAGCGATACCTTCTTGGCAGACCCCTCGACTAAACCAGCCCCAAAGAGACAACACAGCTCTTTGCTCTGACTATGTCTTGCGAAGGGGGTGCTGGCTCACCATGGGATGGATCAGAGAAATAAGCTGTGGAATCCACTGAGCTTTAGATGCCTCCAAGACAGGTGGAGAAATCTGGGCATGTCCCTCGTGGTTCTCACATAATCAGCAGAAGGAGATGGGCATTTCCCATCTCTGGCTTGTTCCACCCTAACGAAGGGGATGTATGAGTTGCCTGTGTTGGCTTTAATGGCAGCTCAGGGTGATTAGCTCAGTCCTTTTTTCCATTTTATAGGTAGCTACACTTGGGCAAAACAAATCCCATCTTAAATCCCTCAGGTCTCACCCATGAATACCGCAGGGACACCGCACTGGAAGAGAACTTCTGGGAAATGGTGCTGTTCTGTTGCTAACAGTTACATCACCATATGCCCGTGTACACAAACTAATCAGAGGCACATGAAAAGCAGTTAGATTGCTGTAGGAAAACATTTCTTTGATAGTCCTTGTCCAGATGATGGCAAGAAACAATTTTCCAGTTTCCACTTTACATGCAGCCAAGAATGCTTTGTTTATGCACTGACACTCTCCTGTGCTTTGCATAGTTGTTTTTTTCCATCTGGAGGTTATCTGCCAGTTATATTATTGGGAGGAAACTTTTTTGCTTTAGCTTTAATTTTTGCTAGGTTAAACATGTCACATACTCTTGGCACGGTGCCTCCAGTCGCCTGATCATCCTGGTCATTATTCTCCACACCCATTTGAGGCTGAGTGCATCTTCCTGGACATGCATGTTCAGGACTGCACACACTGTTTCAGCTCAAATGAAATAAAAATCAACAACGGCACATTTTCCTGCCTTTACTGGGATGAAGGATAAATTACTAGACTGGTATATCTCCAAGCAATACTGGATTTTTTCACGGTTACATGGTGCTCCTAGAGCTCATATTTGCCCTGTGGCTAGCTAGTATACTTCTACCCACCCCCTCTTTTGTTTGTTTGTTTGTTTTTTTTTTTTCCACCAGAGGAGGGTCGTGCATCTGCTCTTTGTCATCTCTAGGGCAACACCTACGCTGCTGGATAAAGATGAGGACAAGCAGCCTGGACCAGCTCACACCCACGCTGTCGTGTAGAAACACCCTGGAGGAAACCAGCTGGAGCCCTCCAAAATGGAGTTGGGAGTGAAATAACAGGCTTGTAGAGAAGCGGATAATCAGCTTCTGGGCTTGGCCTGGCTCTCTTTTATCTAGCAATATGGAGATACTAAAGAGTACGTGGTCTCATGTTTTGCACTACTAAAATTGCTACTGATTTCCACTTCCCACAGGCTTTTCAGCATGATGCAGGAGTTCTTTGCTTTAAGTTCTCTATCATGTGCCCACTTTTGGTGATAGAATTGTCAAAAATAAGGTGAAAAAGGGTGAGTTTTGGGTCTGAATCTGGAGGACCCACGGTACAAAGCTCCCTCCAGCTTCTAGCTCTTTCCTCCAGCACTACTTGCTGTGACCTTTCTTTAGAGAAGGAAAAATGATCGTTAGTTTTTTATTGTCCCTGTCTGCCTATGTCTCTTTTTCTCCTTCTTAAGTAGCAGTACTGACCAAGAGCTGGTCAGTAAGTTCTCCCCAGATTGAGGGAGATACTGAAATGTTTTTCCTGCAGATGACATCAGAAGATGTGGATGTCATTACACCAACTTAAGGAGACTGAAATAGGTTCAAGCAGGGATAGGTCTGTAAATTAGTTGGCAGGGAGCAACTTTCTGGGAAGACCAGTGTGATCAACGCAGTCAAGGGGGGACTTTCCCATCTGCTGTACCAGCATGTGCACAAAAGAAACAATATGAGGAGAGAGAAGCAGGGAACAGTGGAATAAAAGAGAAAGAACATGCAAGGCAGAAAAAAAAAAAAAAAAAAAACAAAACAGTGGTGAGGAGATGGGGAACTAGGAAGTAAAATAGAAACTAGGAACTAGGAAGTAAAATAGAGCCAGCTTGTGACACCAGGGCTGAACTTTTCCCGTGGGTCAGTTGTCTTTGGCTTTCTGCATTTCTGACAGATGAGAAATGGGTGTCAGAGGCTGAGTGAATGGCCTGTACCTGGAGAGGAAAAGTGAGGAGTCAGCCAGGCAGACCTTGGTTCCTTGCTGCTACTGCTGGGAGCACAAGAAATCCAAGGGTCAGGACCTGGACTTAATGAGGAGGATCGGGGAAAGGGGATGTTGATAAAATTATTATCTTGGTGAGTAAGATCTCGGTACTGGAACGGATGCTGAAAGATGCTTCCTGGTTCTAGGGGTATGGTTATAATTGTGTTTTGATGCTAACTTCTGGCATCAGTTAAACTTGTCACTTGTCCAGGCACAGAAAATTGGAGTGGGGGCACAGACCCAAGGAAAGGATACATTTCAACTTCCCCCTAAATGAAATGCAACAAGTACTATGAACAACTACATTGCTTAAAATAACAGCTCTAACAGTAATATCCTTATTCTTAATCTGCAGGTGTGGTGATCAGGCTTTTATCAGTGTTTGGAGGATTTCAGCTGGAAGTAGGGCCCTGAGAGTATAAATAATTCTGCCTTGTAGCACCAATGTATAAACTCAGTATAGCTCCGCAGAGGTCAATGACTGCTTTAGATTTCTACAGGTGGCACTGAATACAAAATGTAAACAGCCTTGCAGAATTGTGAAAAAAAAATGAAGCAAATCCTGCTCAATCACTTAGACATTTAGACAGACTTCATACTAATAACTACTGCGTGCAGTTTCATGTTTCTAAATATGATTTTTCAATAAAGCAGTGCAAGTTTTTAAAATGCAGCCGTCACATAGCAGCAGACAGAGCAAGATCATAAAAGTAAATCCCTAGGTACAGATGACATCACTAAGCTCTTTAAATGATAAACTTTCACCTTTCTGAGCCAATACAAAAGAAGCTTGTCTTCCTGCTAAAAATACATCGTACCAGCAAATTGCATACACTCAAACTACACATTAAAATGCAGAGAGAGCCCTCTGGGATTTGAGGACAAATATGGTCCTGTGCCAGCACTGACTGATTTAAGGCTGTTAAAGTGATGCTCTTAAACAATTAAAAATATCTGCCAGTCCTGTCAAGAGGTTCTGCCGGGCTCTTATGGCTCCCACTATGTTAGAGCAATTCCATGGTGATGGGATGATGCTGATGCACAGTGACATATGAGAGTGGAGGTCTGAGCTCTTACATTTCCAGTCCCCAGCACTCCAGAGAGAGGACAAGAAGAGAGGTGATTGCCGTCAATCGGAGTCCTTGCACAACACAGGGCTCAGAAATGTCAATGCACCCAGGAAGATAAAAAAAAAAAACCCTGAAATTCACCGAAAGGACTCAAAACTCATGCCGTGTTTCAAGAAGGTAGGTGTTGTGGTTTAACCCCAGCTGGAAACTAAGCATCACCCAGCTGTTTGCTCACTCCTCCCTGGTGGGATGGGGGGAGAGAATCAGGAGGGTAAAAATGAGAAAACTCGTGGGTTGAGATAAGAACGGTTTAATAGGTAAAGCAAAAACAAGCAAAGCAAAACGGGGTATTAATTCACCACTTCCCACCAGCAGGCCATCTCCAGGAAAGCAGGGCTCCAGCATGCATGATGGTGACCTAGGAATGCAAACACCATCACTCCAAATGTCCTCTCACTTCCCTCTTCTTCCCCCCAGCTGTATATGCTGAGCATGACACCATATGGCATGGGATATCCCTTTGGTCAGCTGGGGGGGGGCAGCTGGCCCGGCTGTGTCCCCTCCCAACTCCTTGTGCACCCCCAGCCTGCTCGCTGGTGGGGTGGGGTGAGAAGCAGAAAAAAATCTTGATGCTGTGTAAGCACTGCTCAGCAACAATGAAAACATCTCTCTGTATTATCAACACTGTTTCCAGCACAAACCCAAAACAGCCCCATACCAGTTACTATGAAGAAAAATAACTCTATCCCAGCCAAAACCAGCACAGTATGTCTTTCAGGATGACTGTCGAGGAAGAGTATCACAGTCTCTTGGGACAGAGCATCAGCATGTGTTGGCTTGGATTTATAAGCTCCTTCTTTCAGAAAATTATTCCAGAGAAGTTCTCAGTGAACAGGGATTCTGTTCAGGCATACCCTGTAAAAATGGTCCTGCGCAGCATCGGGAATGTAAGATGGTGTGATATTACCCAGCTAAAACATTAAGACCTGACCCTGGCAGTCTAATCCACGGCTGCCAGGTGCTATGGGGTTTGGACCCAAAATATCTTGGCAAGGGTGCTGTGGGGATCCTGAAGAGCCCAGGTTTCCCCATCATCTGCTTGCATTTCCAAAAAGATAAATTCCCTGAAGGCTGTGAGACCAGAGACCTTGCTGGTCTGTTTGGGCAAGAAGCCTTCACAGCAACCACTAGCTGAGAGATGGTGCATTTTTATGTTCAGGATTCATTCCTAAGGAACTTTGTCCTCAGTGTATACCCTTAGCCTTGCCTTACATGGAAATGGAGCAAAATCCTTCAGCAGGAGTGGCTGCCAGAAGCATGAAATGTGACCTCTTACTTACATCACAACCTCCTAGCCTAACATGGCTTTCTTTTACTTCTTTTATATATATATATATTTAGATATAAAATATAACTAAAACCATATATATTTATTTCTTTTATATATTAATTAATTAATTAACTAAATTCTCTGTGCCCTGTCCCTAGCCTTTCAGGGTTTGCAGCAGAGGCAAGATGCAGTCTGCAGGCCTCCGTTCACAAAGAGCCCACAAAAAGCAGCACAAATCTCCAGAGATCTCCACTGGAGGCAGAAGGGGAACCCAGATGCCAACTTGGAAGTCCCCAACAAGCTGAGATGTGTCCATGGTGGAAGTCCCTCAGCTTCCTTTTGGATACTGTTCCTTGCTATCTCAGAGCTCTTGAAACAACAGCAGCAGAACTGGGCTGAACTGGGGGGGTCAGGCACAAGGGAAAGGGGTTACACAGGCACGCGAGACCTAAGTGTAAGGGTTACTGCATTAAATACAAACTAATTGTAAGGGTTTTGGTGTTATTGCCCGTGACCTTGACTGCAGGGAATATTAGGGTTAGCTGCATCAGCCATTGCCAGGTGGAGCCAACATGAGAGCTGCTGATGTGTTTCTGGAGGGAGAAGACATGTTTTTCAACTTATTAGTGATGGATTTTTTTTTAATAGGCCAATAGCTGGGAAAGCACCTAGGTGAATAAAGAATCTTCATCCGAAAATTAAGTGAATGGGAGGAGAAATACATTTTTACTGTCCCTTTTGGGGTAATTTTGTTCTGGTCCTTTCAGCCACACGCAAAGAAACTCTACAAGGAAGGTATACAGCTTAAATGTATAAGGCGATAAATTACTGGTTGTCACAGACAAATCCCACTACCCACCGACTACAACCCTGAAGGAAGGAGGAGCAGGTGGAGCATGTTAGGAAATGGAGTTGAAGAAAAAATCCTCAGCCACTCATAGGCCACACCTGTTACCTGCTAACAGTCTAAGGATTTTGAGGATACTCATGGGTGCTCCCCAGCTGGAGCCTCTTGTGAAAGATGATCCAGTGTCTGAACCCACATAATGGGGGATGCAGAGGGATGAAGGAGGCATCTGAGAACCTGCTGCAGCTGGTAACTGCATCCCATGAACTTCCAGAACTGCCCAAAGAAGAGAACCAAGGAGGTTTATCAATGGGATCCTCCAGCAGCCCCATTGGGGATAGTTTTTTCTGCCTTGACTGTACCACTGACACCTCTGTTTTTCCCCAGGACTCTAAGACCAGTAATTGTTTGCTGTCATATTTTTTTTCTGCTTCACTACAAAGTTAAACAACCACGTCATCAGTCTGTCAGTTCCCTGCACTAACGTCTGAATGTGCAAACCACTTTTGACCACATGTGACAATGAGGGGTGAAGGTTTTAAGAAACAGATCTTTATATTAAAGTCACGTATGCTTTATAATGGCACTGGGGACACGAGGGATACCCAGATTGACCATCCCACAAGCAAAAAGCTGCAGCAGAGGCTGGGCATTCACTTGTCCTGCCAGCTAGACCAACAACATGATGGTTATAGTAAGGGACACAGAAGGGTGGGGAATTTTTGCACTGGGAAGAGGAGCAGAGTACAGGAATTTGAAGGTGCCATGGGAAGAACAGAGATTCAGTGTTTCTTCCTATTATAAAACATCCTGTCTTCCCACAGTACAAGGA